GGGGGGGGGGAAGCTATGTGAATGTCTTAATTCATGCAAAGGCCAAACCACTCAGTAGTTAGATTTTTGAAGAAGGAATTAAAATCAAATTATCTTTTATGAGGAAGGAGAGATATTTTGGGAGGATAAGCCAATTTCTCAACTATCACTGGGTCTCATCTCTTGAACTCCTCAAGATAGTTCATTCAGAAATCCCAACACTGCATTTCCTTGATCAGACATCATATACAGAGAACATTTTTATTTTTAAAAACTTCACTACCCATAGCAAATATTCTGCTAGTAGCCAGAGCCATATGATCTTCCAGCTAGATTCACAAGACTGACTAAAATGTGACACACTGCCCTTCAGTTTCTGGGGCTTCTTCCCTGCTTTCCTTGAAGGGCAAAGATGTACTTTTCTTCTTCAGTGTATTTTAAAAGTCTCTCATTAATACCTGGAAATAAGACACTTTGTCTGTCGTACTTATTTGCTGTATGTTTCCACACCCTGTTTGATGAGCAAGGGGTGATAATATACTGCTTCAGAGTTGTGGCATACTGTAGCATTTTAATTTTCTACTTTGTAGATTTTAATCCATCGCAGCACATTCTGTCACCCACACTGTGCAGTAACAGTAGATATTTCACCAGCCAAGGGAGAGCGAACACAAAGATATTTAGCAGAGACAAAAGCCCCACAGAAATGCCAGCAAGCTAAGGGGAAGGAATGCATGATAAATGAAGAATGCAACCGCAGAGATAACTGGTAGGGGCAATGAGCTTTGTGCAGTTCCACTCAAACGCTGAAAGCTGATTACTTCCGTACAACGTACTGGGCTGAATAATGCTACTATTTTAAAGCAACTAACATGCTTTTGCTAAATAACGGACCATTACCAGAGCTGCTACCCCAGGACGGCAAAACTACCCTTACTGCAATCACCATGCTCTAGTTGGAAGGTTAGTTACCCGGATTCTCTACACTTAATTGACATCAAACCCCAGCTCACTTCTGATGTTCAGAAATACTTCATTCCAGGCATACAGAAATGTTCAGGATTTCCAGCTGAGAAATACTTCTGCTACTAAAAAACCCCACAACACACACACACCCTTCCCACCCCTCCCCCCCCCCCCCCCCCCGAAAAAAAAACCCAAAACCCACCACTCCATCTTCTCCCTGCAATAACACACAAGATGATAATTGTTTTGAAAAGCACATAGAAAAGGTATGTCAGAAAACCTAACTAAGAATATTTAATACAATCTTCACAGCACTGCTAAACTAAACAGCATAAAACTAAATGCTATCTTCCTTCTTTCAGCAACTGTCATGAATCCCTAAATTATCACTGGAGTATTAAGTGGTAAGGTTTAAGCCTGTGACCAAACAGAACACTGACGGGTTTTGGTTTTGCCCTTCTTCTCCCCAATTATTTAACCTTTATTAGGTAATAGTCACTGCTATTTACATGCTGTATTCTACAATGCAGACTTGATCATTCCAATTCCAGTTACAAATCCTGAAGGTTTAGCTGTATATCTCTGACATGCTTGCACCAATTCAATTTCTTTTAAGCCTGTACTGCATCCAAATGTGGGTACATTTTCCAAGAACAACAAGATGGGGAATTGCTTATAAAGCTTCCAATCGCTGCCAAAACATATGACAGCATTACATTTTCCCCCAAAGAAAAAGTCACCATAAAATGAAAAAAATGAGGCAAAAGCATTGAACTTCTTCTTAACCCTTGCTCAGAGAGATGTAAAAAAACTGGCAAAGTAGAAAAGTAGAAAAGAAAAATCGCAAGTTAAAAAAAAAAATCTAAAAACTAAGGTTTTCAAAGTTAACTATATAGAAACTTTCAAGTGTCAGTCAATTTTGATAAAAGTGTTCTATCAGCACAAATTAAAATAACCTTAAATGAATAATATTATGGTGTTGAAGCCATCATCTATACCTACACTATTGTCCTGAAGACGTGGCAAATAGTTTGAAAACAATGAGGTTAAACGAGGATCTGCTAAACCATACTAGTAGACAGTATTTTAAAAATAGTACTAATTAAGAATAGATCACTTTTACAAAGCCATGAAAAAACACTGCAGGACTGACATCCACAAAAGAAATACTTATGGTAGGCAATTAGATTGAAGGACTTAGTGAAAATTTAATCTATTTCAAGTGTGGATTTTTTTTGTTTGTATTTAATTTTTAATCAGATTTTTTCAATCTCAACACTTATTTTTATGTACCCTTTCTGATCAGCTATGAACATCTTCCTTTATCTCAGAGAAGTTCTGTATTCTTTCTTCACACTGAGCTCATGACTTCAGTACATTGAACTTGGAACACAGGTATGCAAAGCTCTAAATACACTGACAGACCAGGCTGCTAAGCATAAATTTAAAGACTGTTTATATTGAGGTTTGAGAAGAAGGGCGAAAAATGTGAAGCAGTTCAATTACAACTACTGCAATTTTGTGTTTATACAAGTGTAGAACAAGGCTGACATTTCGCTTCATCTCTGCAAGCAAATATAATAATCTTATGATAAAGTCTTATGTTTACCTAAGCTTTTATTATCTGTGAACTACTCAAGAGAAAGCAAATGAGTCTTTCTAAAGACATTTCAGCTAGGAAGCCAGTTCCAGTTCTGCTTTGAAAACTTTGATCACAAGAATAAAAATGAAACCCGACGAATTTATCTTTAATTACCTTTTCTTGGCCTCTTCATACTGCCAGTTCAGTCTTACTTTGTCTACAAGTCTTGTTTTGTCATCAAACCCAAACTTTTGCAGAGTTGAAGAGCAAGAAGGGGAGGGGGAAAAAAAAAAAAAAAAAGACAGGGAGAAATTAAAAGTTAAAAAGACTCTCACAATAAAGGAATAAATTACTCTCACTTACTGGACTCATTAAAAAAACTCAATGCTTTAAGTAATAACATAAAAATCAATTTTATGCTTTAGAAATCCAAAACTGGTTTCTTGCTAAAAATACAGAAGATAAATTAGCCCTTCCAATAAACTATGATCCTGGAAATCAAGGGTTAGCAGAATCACTGATGAATGGTCAAAGCTTTTCAGTTTTATCCAAGCTTAAAATATCAAGAGTATTTTAATTGAAATATTTTACTACTTGATACAGCTATTTTATGGATAGTTTAATTAGAATTAATTTAGATTACATTCCCCGTACTGTGATGTGTTATACAGCGCTTAGATCATCAGTGCATTTTAAGCCCTATTACAAAAACACCACCTCACCCTTTAATGAGTTGTAGAATGCACATTTATACTACAACTCCTGTTGTATACAGCCCAGTTTCCACAGCAACTTCTCTCCAACTCAGGGCATCAGCAGTTTCCCTCTTTGGAAGTCTGAGTACAGTCTAAGAGTTAAAACCCAAGTCCCTGTTAAGTGCGCTGCTGAAAAACATCTAACTGCTGCTTTTGCTCTCTTCATCATCACACTCGTAAAAAAATCCATCTCTTTTTTACTCCGTTCCACTATTAGTAATTCAGGAAAACAATTAACATAATTATGTAATTTTATTTTCCTGATGAAAAACCTATACCTAATATATATATATTTCAGCCTTTCCTTGACTTGTCTTGGATAGCATTCAATGTGCACTGTGAATGGGAAAACGCTGCTATGTTCCTTTTGGTAACTTGTTTTGGAATTCAATAATGACATCCATGATCAGTCTGAAAAATGGCATCCCAAAAGCACCATCTACCTAACACACTGAAAGACAGCTCAATGCTTGCGAAGTTTTCTTAGACGCTTTAGAAGTTTATGGGCTCAAAAACAGAGATTTCCTCTTCTGTAGAGGACATCTGGAGACATCCAACTTGGCAACTAGTCAGCAGTGAAAGACGACAAAAGAGGAGAAATAGAGGATAAAAGACTACAATTAAAAAGTTACACAGTTCAAGAAAAATTTCTAACCAAATTATGTGGAGTAACATCCAAACTACAGTACTAACAAACCACAAACAGGTTGACGTCTGGCTTTGTTGTCAATCTCATCCACATAAGCAAATGTTTTATTGCTGAAGAACAGCTCGGCTGTCATTGTACCAGTGACAGCCAAGTTTTTATAATTTGGAATACACAGTTTCATTCACACAGAACTATTTCCAGGGAATGCCACTATGTTCTTCTCAAATACTGTATTTAAAGGCATATTTGAGCATAAAGATAGGACACGAGATCAGAATTTTTGTTAGTTTTTAAGAAAAAATACTTGGAGACTAAAAAATATTTCCCTTGTCTCAGAGAAAAGGAACAGATGTCTACTCTGCATCTTTGATTTATATGAACAATGATGACAAGCATGACAAAGACAAGATTTAAAATATATGTATATATACATTCATCACTACTACCAGAATACTAACACCCCACGCTGTTGCACAATCAGGCCTCTACTGCAACTTCAGGCTAGCTAAAGTATTTTCTTCCTTCCTGTATCATTACAAGTATGAGTAAGTCAGAGCTGGTGACATGAAGAGGAGGTCTGCGGACACCTCAGCAAGAGCTGTTACTCACAGATGAACCCACGGTCACCAAAGTGACGACGCGAGAAGTGCTCTGCCAGGCTGGCTGAATCCAGGAGCTGATTTTACCTGTCACTGACCTGCGAGCACGTCGCTATGCCCCTCTGCCACACTCAAGTAAGAGAACCACAAAGCCTACCGCTCATGAGCACCGCTCACACGCTCTGGAAACAAGAAGCAAACACAATTCCCTCGCCACCAATATTGCTTTGGATTTTTCATTCTGCTACAGCCCACACCTCTTAAATTAAAACAGGAAATAACCATGTATCACTATAGTACAAAAGCAGCTTATTTTCTGCAGCGAATGTCTCACACAGGAACACATACCTCTCCAGTGATGTCAGTCTGAGAACAAGCATCGCAGTGTTGTTGAGGTAAACCGGAGTCGCTGAGTGAACTAGAATTGTGCTGGAGATCCTGCAGGGAATCTGTAATACAACAACTATTCCTGAATCCATCTGTTAATTTGGCCAGGCTCTACAGGAGAAGAGATTAAAAAAAAAAAACCCATAGAAAACCTGATTTTTTTAATAATTCTTTTGTTAACAGAAAACAAAGAAAAAATTCATTTTAGAAATATGACAGGTAGCTTGCCTATAAAGACATATTTACAGAAAGTACAATTCATTGTAGTGTTATTAACATGCAGAAGCTTTGTTTTGAAGTAAGTGTCTCCATTTAAAACATGTATCTAATGGCAAACAGATTTTAAATTACTTGGTTTAGATATATGAATGTTTTAGGTTTTGTGTGGCTTACAGTTCTTTAAATCTAGCAGCTGTCAACCTTCAGGTTAGCTGATAGGAAAGACAAATGTGATTCACTTGCCCTTTTGCCATCTTTCAGACAGGTTACATTCCTTAGCAACTACTGCTATCAGATCCAACTTGATGAGTACCTTGTATTGATTGTATTTTTATGACAGTTTATTTCACCCTTGAGCTCTCCTACCCAAGGTTCACATAGCTAAAAAATATTTTACACTTTCGGTTAAGCAAGGGACATCTTTGAGATGCCTAGACAATGACACAAACTGTGAGGTAAAAGCAGAAATGTCGAGCAGTCTTTAAGAGGAAAGGGGAACAGGACAGAATCACACAAAATGTAACAATAACTTGACAATACAATATTGGACCTTTAAGATCACCTAGTCCAACCAATAACCCAGCACTGCTAATACCACCACTAAGCCATGACCCTAAGCATCACATCTATATGTCTCTTAAATACCCCCAGTGATAGTGACTCAGCCACTTCCCTGGGCAGCCTGTTCCAATGCCTGACAACCCTTTCCATGAAGACATTTTTCCTAATATCCAACCCTTTCCATGAAGACATTTTCCCTAATATCCAACCCACACCTCCCCTGGAGCAACTCGAGACAGTTTCCTCTTGTCCTATCGCTTGTCACTTGGAAGATGAGACCAACCCCCAACTCTCTGCAACCTCCTTTCAGGCAGTTGTAGAGAGCAATAAGGTCTCCCATGAGCCTTCTCTTCTCCAGGCTAAACACCCCCAGCTCCCTCAGCCGCTCCCCAAAGCAGTTGTGCTCCAGACCCTTCCCCAGCTCCGCTGCCCTTCTCTGGACACGATCCAGCACTTCTATGTCTTTCTTGTCGTGAAGGGCCAAAACTGAACACAGAATTCAAGATACGGCCTCACCAGTGCCCAGTACAGGGGAACAATCGCTTCCGTGGTCCTGCTGGCCACACTGTCCCTGATGCAGGCCAGGATACAACTGGCCTTCCTGGCCACCTGGGCACACTGCTGGCTCATGTTCAGCCGGCAGTCAACCAACACCGCCAGGTCCTTTTCCCCCAGGCAGCTTCCCAGCCACTCGTCCCCAGGCCTGTAGTGTTGCATGGGGGTGCTGTGACTCAAGTGTAGGACCTGTCACTTGGCCAGGTTTTTACTCAGTGAAGTGTACACCCATCCAAGCCATGAGTAGTCAGTGTCCCACAGCATTCTCCTGGAGAGATGGTGTCAAAGGCATTAATAAGGTCTAGGCAGACAACATTCACAGCCTTTCCCTCATCCACTAAGGTCAGATTAGTCAAGCAGGACATGCTTTTCAAACCCATGCTGACTGGGCCTGATCACCTGCTTGTCCTCTATGTGCCATGTGATGGCACATAAGATGATCTGCTTCATAGCCTTCCCTGGGACTGAGGTCAGACTGACAGGCCTGGAGTTCCCCAGATCCTCCTTCCAGCCCTTGCAGATGGGCATCACACTGGTTAACCTCCAGTCAACTAGGATGTCCCCATTTAGCCAGGACTGATCATGGGTGATGGTGGAAGAGCTGTATCAATTTACAAATCATAACCGAATAAAACCATTTGGTTCTAAAGACACACATAAAAACTCTCAAAACTGCTTATTCCTGTGTCTGAACTACAGAATCAGAGGCAAATCTGAAGCAGCGCACTGGAAGAAGGCTGGCACTTAGGAATCTCAGTGGCTCTGACAACTGATTTGCACCGAGCCCCATTTATTGCCCACATCCAATTACCACAGCATTTTTTCAGTCTTCAAAGCACAGTTTAAAGAGCATAACACATCAATGCTGCCTTTTCTTCCATAAGATTCTTCTAACAGAGTCAAGAAGATGAACCTGTGTAACAGCAACTGGTTGCTGCTCACGGGACCAGCAGGGCCACCTTGCATCCATAGGAATTGCAGCAGGCCTTGAAACTGGCCACAGAAAAACAGCTTTTTCTGGTGCCCTCCATTTTCGTCATTATATACCAGTCCCTCCCTCAGGCTTGCCTCCACTAGAGATGAAAAAGACTAAAAATACCCAGCCTGGTGCAGGACGAATGAACAAGTGGACTCCCTAGCCACAAGAAGGGGGGCCTGTGCTCCTTCCTGCCACCCCCCCAAGTCACACGCACTTTGTCTTCTTCCTATTAGGGAAAGGCAGGGAGAGACATAGGTACCCACGACATGTCGGAGAGCACGTGCTGCTCCCTCTTCAGTCTCCATCTGCTGGTACTACAAGGTCTGAGTGGGGCTGGGATTTTACACTCAGCGCTGGCAGGGACAGAGGATAATGCCAAGCAATGCCAGACCTGCCAGCACTGGGACACAGCTACTACTACTTGCCTCCAGAAGCTCAGTTTGTGTTGGGTCCTCAAAAAAGACAATTCTTCTGCCACCTCCCGACTGAACTGTGTCATCTTAGTAAGAAGGTCAAAGGAAATAGTTTCTTCTCAGACAAGACAGCAAAATTCACTTTCAAGTTATGTTGCCGAAAAGTCCCTGGCTAGTGTCCCTTTTACCCCCCAAGGCTTGCTACAGAATTAACTTCATGACATGGCAAAAAAACCCACAATGTCTTCCACTTCATGAAAATTGCAGAATCCTGTCTAACTCTCTTCAAATCTCACTGGAAATCATCCAGTCCTGTCAGTCTCCTGCTGTATGGAAGATCAAGATGGATCCCTAATGGGTTTGTAACATGGAAATAATAATTTCAAATCATAGCTACACAAACATCTAACATGTCCTCTTCCCAGTGAAGCAGAGCCAGTCCCATGACCAAAAACTGAGGATTCAGAAAACCCTAGGTTTCTCCCAAATAAGCTAAGTCCCACCTGGCACCTTTTGCTACCGCAAACCATGTTACAGGCATATGTAACCCCAAAGACCCTCATACCAGAACTTAAATCTAAACTTCTGTCCATATTTCAACTGCTTTATGCCCTCGTGGTGTGCTCCTGACACCCTCCAGCATCTCCTTGGCAGGTAACGAAGGGCTGCCTGGCTACTGGCCAGGCTTCCTATCTGGGCACAGTTGCTAAACCCAGGGTACTGCTTAAAAATTACACAGCATGTGGCAGGTGGCAATCACCAAGCAGTATCACCTTAACATATATCTGTGTGCACAGCTGACTATGCTCTAGGGTAAGCATATATGCTTTGAGTCCTTCTAGTTGGATGAGTGAAAGCACAGCCTCCAGCAATCCTAACATGGAAAATTACAACCAGAATTAGCATACTTTTAGATAGAAACAATTTATATAAACTGCTAGGAGTCATATCCTCCCCTGCCATATGGAGGAATCCATCTTTCTCTTAGGGTTAATGGATTGTTTACAGCAATCCCACAGAAACTGCCAGACCAGCCTACCATTCCAGGCACACCAGCCTAGACCTACCCAAGAAGACAGAAATGTCATTTCATCACTGCTTATAGCTCTCTGATTTGGAAACTCTCTGCCACATAGTTTCAGAGTAGTTGCTATCTAACCTATTTAGCCCATTTAACTGGTAAAGGAAAAAAAAAGGGAAAAGAAAAAAGGAAAAAACCCCCCAATCCCTATGCTTCCGAAGGACAACATTTCTAAAATCATATGCACATACTGGAACAGAAACAGGAGTATGAAAAGGATGGGGAAGAGTGGGAGGTGGACAGAGAAATACATGCTGCTTTCAAGAACCTAACCACACACCTTGATTACTCAATCTTTTTATATAAAAAGTTTGCCCACTTTTGAGGAGCAATGTCACTGCATATTTAGCTTTATTTGTAACCACAGCACCCAGGTTAAATCTGACCACCCTCTCCTTCCCTCCCACACAGCTTGATCCAATTATCATATTTCTATGACAGCTACAATATTGCAAGCACCTACAGAAGACTGAGTCACTTCTACTATGTTTAGTTCTGTTGCTTATACTGGACAGATTTAAATTAAGAAATAGTAAGAAATTGTCTATTTCCTTTCTCTGAAATAAATCCCCGTCTGTTTACACAATACTTTGAACTTCTCTATAAACACCTTTCAAAACAAAGAGTTTTTCATAAGCAAGCTTGTCCTACCAACAATAGCTTTAAAATGTAGCATTTTCAAGGAAAAAACAACTTCAAAATTGATAGGAAATTAAAAAAAACAAATTCTGAACTCATTAGGAAGATACTTAAAATAGACTTGCACTTGTTTGACAAAGCTAAATAAATCCATAACAAAAATCTTCAACTGATTATAAAAGAGCAAAGCACAGGAAAGTTTGGTGATAAAATCTTTTAAAATTTCATTTTTTTGGTCAAAATTTAAAAAAATATCAGGTAGAAAGCTTGGTGTTTTTGCAGAGCGCAGAAAGTTGGCAGAAATGCACAATTTTTACAACTGTGAATCTTGCAAACTATAGCATTTAATCCCTTATTAGAATTCCAACCAAACCAGAACTCTTTTGCATGCTAGGCCTGTGCAGAACAACTATTTTCTAGATTCTCTGGGACTACAGGTCTATTACTGGATGCTACCCAACAGACTGTCAATAATTACAGAAATGATACCCCCTAGACTGGTATTTCCTGTATGTCACTGAAATCCACGAAGAAGGATGGCAACACTTTTCATTTTTGCGACTGTCTTGTGCAACCTCTAAATTCGGGTGCTGCCAGCATTGCCCAATCCTTGGATGCTGAGCTCGATCCTAGACTTCTAACTCCCTCAACACTGCATTTGAAGAAACTGCAAGTGCACTTATGGTTGGTTTAATAGGTACGACTTTCAAGGCATCTCAATGTTTACAGCTGGATTTAGAGCCACTGAACACTGAAAATGTAAGGAAAAAGGGGGAAAGAAAAAATATCTAGTGGGGGAATCAACTTAAGGCCAGTAGTTAAGCTGCTCCAAGATCTCACACACATCTTTAAATTACAAGTTAGTTTCCTAAAATGTGCGTCACTGCATTCATGAAGAACTGCCTTTCTAATCATTTCTTGCTAGCCAGGCATGTGGAAGACTGAGAACCACTTTAAAACTTGGCCAACACAAAATATCAAGTATGTTAAAAGTTGCCAAGGCAGAAACTTTTCATAGTGACTTAAGTGTTCTGTATACTTGAATAAAGATTTGCGGTACATCAGCTGACCTTTGGGTAATGCTTTGGAGACTGAATAATTGTAGAGCTATGGAAATTCATTATATGCAGATTAGTAGCCACTCATGTCATTTAACAATTAAAAAAATAAAAGAAAACAGCAAAACACTATTGCAGAGAAAACTGAAAGAAAATGTTTGAATTGCAATATTAATTTAGCATGGAACCAAAAATTTAAGTAATAAAGATGTCTTTTTTCACATAGCAGTTTGAAGACTGGGTGAAGAGAACTGTCCTTGTCACCTCTCTGTATCTGCAGCCTATTTGCGCAAGTCTAGACTGAAGTCCTAGTGGTGGCAGAGGCCTGTGGCTCTTTGATCAAGCTCCCATCACATTGATAACGCAGACACAGTGACTGAAAGCCTGAAACTGGATGCAGAATCCAGCCGAAAGTAAGATCACCACTCAGCATGCATCTCCCCTCGATCCTCATGCTTCAATTCACAAAATAATTTAAAGCTTGCACAATGGTTTCTGTATACATTGTATTTAATCCTACTCTTTGAGGGGTTTGTGAGAACATTTGAAATTAACATGTGTCTTGACCTGAGTACTTAAGAGGAGCGCTTGTGGCCAAAAAAGGAGACATGCCAAACTGTAGTACAGTGACACAGAGATCCAGTTTTGTGAAATCCTTATAAAAGGAAGAACATGGTAGATAAACTGGTAAACATTTTAGCACATGAATTCTCAGTCCTACTTCATTATAGGTAATACAAAGAGACATTAAACAAAATGAAAAACAAACAGGGTAAACCTCAGAGTATTTTTGGTTTGGTTTTTTTTTTTTTTTTACATGCAGCATAATGACTCCAAAGCAGCCTTTGATACAGTCAGCAGCAGTGGAAAGCTATATTCAATAAAGACATTGTTCTAAAAGTAAGGATAGTATGTTATCTAAGACAAACATATGAAACGCATATGAAGTCTAGTGTTCACAGCATAAACAACTATATAAACTACTTACCTCTTTCAAGCTGCCTGCTATTGGCAGAAAAATCAGTGTAGACCACCCCACTTTTTTGTTTACACTTGGTAACCCCAGTGCAATCACAAACAAGAAAACAGAGGTAGGTTATTACTTCTTAGCAGCTATTTGTTCAGTAGCGTATTTTTTACCTGCATAAGGTCCTGCCTTTCTTTTTCACCTGTGCATATAGCTTTCTTTATGGTTCGAAGCTCACTCATTATAGCTTGTGCTTCATCCAGTCTGTAATTTGTATGAGCACTTGACATCTTACGATCAATCCTGTTGAACAGATTAAGATTTTCACATAATCAGAAAGCACGTAGATGTTTTAAGACCTCTTGCTTATTCACGTAACACTTTATTTCCATGAATAAAATTATACTCTACTTGGAATCAACACAGCACTCGGTGCCAAGTACACTTGAAAGACAAAACAATGCAATTATCTACCCAGGTTCTGCAGAACCAAAAGTCTCTTGTGTTTAAGATCCTAATGCAGAGCTTGCTTACAGGCATCTGTGGGCTACTTCACGCAACAAAAGTAAAATCAACCTTCAACTAACCTACACAGTAATAACTCAAAAGGAAAAGATTCCTAAGATTTTATTGCAAATGCTTTCCTGCCACTACGGGCATCTTTGAATATCTTTTCTACAATACATCATCTTCTTGTTCTAAAGAACATCATGTGGGACTATCCCAGAAGATTTCAAATGCAAACTCAGCATGAAGCAAGAGCACTACTCACTACACTAGGGTGAAGTACTGCTAATGGTTCCATCTTGACATAAAAATCTCTCATCTTAAGTGGGACATCCACTGTCTGAGTTTTTAAATACTTTTCCAGCAGTTCACAATAGCAGAGGACAACAGATTAGGATGCAGAAGCCTAATCCAGTGTATCATCTTGATAATTTGCTTTGATTTATAGATAAAGACCAGTGACTCTGCAGCACTTAATAAAAGTTCTAGTTGTGTTAAATTCCTGTTAAAATATGAAAACCTCAATTTTCCAGTAAATCTAGCCTAGATAGTGTGCAGATAGAGAAAAGGTGGTACGTGTAATGATCCCTAAAACTGATGCTAAGAATGACCACCTCCAGGAAAAGGTGTGTCGGGTTAACAGAATTAAAGGTAAAAATACATTGGTCATTACACAAGAAATTAGTTTATAAAAGTTGTAGTAGGAGAGGTTATGCTACACATACATGACAAAAATATTCAAACTCTATTTAAAATATTGAGAATAACCAGAAGTTTCAAGGTAGGTATTATATTAAGCTAAGACCGTCAAACAACGCTCACTCAGCATGTTCTGCCAGCTAAACAAAATCAGCGAAATTCCACTTGAAGAAGATTACTTGCTTTAAAATTAAAATATTAAAATGCAAAATCAAAAGGCTTGAATGAAAATTCTGTGGTTTTATTGTGCAGCTCACAATATTTAGGAAAAAAAAAATACAGGTTGGGTTTCTATGCTTTGGGTTTGTTTTTTTTTTCCTGACAGTTCCTGCTTTTGAAGACAACACAAAATAAGCAGAAAGCTTGAGGTTCAGACTTAAACACAATTTTCCCCATGTTGCATAAGAAAATACATAAGCCTTTATGATTTTTGGTTCAAGAACAAGAAAGGACTTAAATGTCATGTGGATTGAAGCTGGACTTTTTGTTTGGTTGGGTTTATTTTCTTTTTGACCTTTTTAACTTGAGTCTTTACTAATTTTTAGTTAAAAATCTTGAAAAGATCAGATAAACTATGGTAAAACAACTAATCCAGCTCACTAGAAGTTACATGAAAAAGGTAACGTGGTTTTAGCTGAAGGTTACCTTAATGTTAAGAACATCGTTTCCATCCAAACATTAGACCTGAAAATGCCTCCTACACAACTGCTCATTATACTGTTTGCCAGGTACAAGGTGGCATTTCAGGAAAAGGAAATTATTTAATTTCAACCAGATTTTTGTCCTGTTACCCACATATTCATGTTCCTGGACGTCACTTTGGAGCCCTACTTATGAATTGATAGTTGTTTAAGGAAAGAATCAGAGAAGTTTCTACTGCCAGAAATATTTGAGCTTAAATCAGTATTGCTGTCAACCTAAACTGATTTAAGTATCTTACAGAATTACTTGTTATTCATCATCTGGTTTGGTGGGGGTTTTTTGCCCTCCTTTCATAATGCTCTGGCTTTGAAAGCCACAAAGTTAGCAGGAATCTCCCATTTTATTAATGGAAAATAGTATGATACGAATACAGATTAGACCTCTCTATGAATAAAAAGAACATTCAAGTAATACACAAAACTATGAACATTTTCTGAGGAAGATATTTCTAGGATATATCGAGTACTAATACACGTGCTAATACACTATTCTCCTCCACATGCTTTCAAATACCCGAGCCTCCCCCATCCTCGCACAGGTCTGTAGTTGAGTTAAAATCTAATTTTAAAGCTTTTGTCAGGTCTCATATCCTCTAGTCTGTAGCTACAAATTGTTTAGTCAGTCCTAATTCCATCTCTCCCAACTTCTCTCAGCGTTCAGTCTGCTCTCGCAGCCAACTGGCCGAGTTTCCATTTCCTTTGTTGCTAAACGCCTTCTTCCTCCAAAATTCCTGCCGGTGAGCAGAAGGGTCACTGAAAACACAAGGGAGGAGGAACTGCTCCTCGGTTTCAGTCCTTGCCGCTGGGTCAGAGGAAGGAGTTTGTTCCAGGAAAGGCTCATCTTTAACCCTGTAACTCTGGGCCACAACAGGATTAGCCACACCTTGGGACAAGGGTACTCGTGGAGGCTGAGGAACACCGTTCACGCAGGGTAGGATCTTTGCAGGCTTTCAGTGGTGAACTCTAGAAAGTCTCCAGTGGGGAAAGGAAGACTGTGATGTCCAAAGGCTTATCACCACACTGCCAAATTTGGATGACACTGTAGAAAATAGAGCCCTAATAAAAAGCTGGAGCACTACAAAGTTTGAAATTCTGACTGTATTGGAGTTGTAGACACATTAAAAAAAAAAAAAAAAATCAATCCTCTCTCCACCCCCTACAAACCCCACTTTTCTCTAGTTGTCTTGTGGTTTGTTGGTTTGGGTTTTTTTTTTTAATTATTATTCTTGAAGATGACTAAGACATTTTACTAAAATTAAAAAGAACAGAAAACAAAACACAGTCCAAGGCAGACACTGAAGGTGGAAAATGTCAATGCAAGAGATTTGCATTTATCAAAGGCATCTGATTCAGACAGCAACATAAAATGATGGAAATACTGAGGAACCTAACCACCCTCACCATAAAACTTGTCTCTTCTCTGAGAGCTTTGCCCAGCAGAGGTTGCACAGGGAGTTGCATGGCAGCAGGATCTGATACCTGCTCATAACACCATTCTGGTCAGACTTTCAAAGCAAACATTCAGCCAGATGTAAAGCCCAAAGTGTGACAGCTCCTAATATTGTTCTTGGCTTATACTTGAAACAAAGCGAAGAACATGGCTTTAACACAGCTGAACAGGATGCATGCCATTCTCAGTTTGGCAGTTACATGAAAATTTGACCTAGCACAAGAAGGAAGATAAATTATGCAGACCAAAAATTTAGAAAAGGTAACAAAAGGGGGAAGTGTCTGAGATGTAAGAAACCTAAGGGGCAAAAAAAAAAAGGGGGGGGGGGGAAAGAAAGAGAAAAAACACACCAGCATTTTTGTTTTAAAGAAGGAACAATGGGTTTCTTTTTAGACAATACGTTTACTTTGTGGATATGCAAAAAAAAAAAAAAAGAAAAAGTACTTCAGCTTCGACTGACCCTTCCCTCCCGACAAATACAAGGGTAGGGGAGAGATTGCCCAGGGACAACCCAGAACACAGGCCTGACTGGTCTGCTGACTACACAAGTAGGCTAGAGAAACTTCTCTCTTCAGCTGATATAGTGCGAGTACTCTCCAAATTGGCTTGCTTCCTACTAGAAGCAAAACAGTCAAAAGAAAGCACGTATCTCACTAGAAAGGCAATTTAAAAATTACTTTAAAAACACAAGACAAACCCACAAGCCTCTGGTTCACGAGTGAAGAAGTCACTGCAGAGAGCAGAGCTCAGCAAGGCCCAAACACCAACAGAAATTCACTGCAACCCCAGATCACACGCCAGCAAAACAGTCCCCCCAGCTTCAGCAAGCAACAACAAATGCCACCCGATGCACCAACAGGACAGAGTGAATGTAGCAACAGCAGCCATGAGCAGCACCGAAGCACTGAGTTGTCATCCCCGAACTTTGAAACGGGACAATTAGGGTGACCACTGACTAATCAGATATGCTTTAAAATAATTCCTCTCGTGAATGTCTCCCCTATACCCCCATCCTGGACTATGGGCAGCTTCACTTGGGCTAAAATCCAAGACTAACATTTGTATTCTTAATCATTCACAGACTTTACTTTTCAAAAACTTGCACTACTTTGCTGGACTATCTTAAATGAATTACATTATTTAAAACAATCTTGAGTTTCAAATGGCCTTCAAATACTTTCGTCATTCTAGTCAAGTGGTTAGTCCTTTCATATAACAATTGAACCTATTCCCTTAAAATAACCCAATAACCAGGACAAGGAAAACAAACAGAGAAAAGTAGAAAAGGCAAAGCAATTCTTACTCAAAGAAAATACAATTAAGAATATTCAGACAAAAATGCTTTTGTTCCGTTACTGCTTAGGTATCTAGGCCACCATCCTAAAATGTTGTCTATACTTAAAATATTTGCTGTTTCAATACACCGAGTGCTTAACTTTACTAATTTGCAGTTAATATCATACATTAACAATTCTGTAAATTACCTGTAAATACTTCATGCAGTCAATAAAACTGTATTTATGCCTGAAATGATTACATTCTAACTGCCAATGAAGGATTTTGGTTGAACAAGTTTTCTTATCTGAAGTTTTTAAAACGCATTATAAAACAACAGAACCCTGTAAGCTTAAAACAAAAAACCCCCAAATCACCACAATATAAAGTGCATGCATTACTCCCTCTCCTTTAAAAGTAAAATCTGAGTCTCTTTCCTTATAATATCGTTTTGTTGACGTAACACCAATCAAAATCAAAGTTGGAAATCAGTAACCTAATTGCTCCAGAATACCTGGAACCTTGCCAGAATTCCTCAAGCAAAAGTGTGTGTCCATAATTTGTAGCACCAACGCAATAAATCCAAAGCTTCAAAATATGTCCACAGATACTGTACTTGTGCTGCAAAAGGCATTAGACATGCAACAGTTCCAACATTTTCAGGAAGCGCCTGCATTAGGCAGTTTGTTCACATGCATGCTGGAAAACAGGCCAAAATTTCTAAATGCATGGCCACATGTCCAAAGCAAATCCAAGAGCTGTTCAACATATGGTCTAACTCCTGGCCTTGTTGAACAGATCTGGAAGTCACAACAACCTGTGTTTACCTGCTGTCTTTTCCATGGCCCGGCAACCTCTCTCCCTATCCCACTGGGCATCCCGCGTATGTGCTACATATGTGTAGGTGACTAAGCAGCGCACAGATGGAAGTCACTCAGTTCCCATCTGATGGCCTGCAGGAAGAGTGGCAGGGAGAAGGTCACCACCTTTGTCACCACTGAGCACAAAGGAAACAGAGCTCAGGCTGCCTAATAGCCTTGGGAGCAGGGGCAAATTGCTCTGAGCTCCCTTCCCTTGCAGGGAGAGGACAAGGAGTCACGTTTACATGCACTTGTTCTGCACACATGCAACAAAATCCAGGGTCTCTCAGACCATCAGATTTACTGTACACAGACAAATCAGCTGTACTGCACAGAAAGAGGCAACCTGACCATCAGGCAAAAGGGAGAAGCAGTGTTGCTGTGTACATCTTTCCCCCCGGGGAGAAGTCTTGTGCCCAGCCTGAAAGCCTCTGTACTGTTCACAGGAAAACGACTACTGCACGGTGCTTTGGGCTGTGCTCCAGGCGGTAGGTATCTCCAAAAAATGTTTGGAAAATATTTTAAAAATCTAATTCCACCCTGACATCTTCAGGAAGAGTTGAAGAACAGGGCCTATAAAACTGGTTTATGTGGATCTATGAAATCACCATTCCAAGCAATTCTGTCCAACCCTTCTTCCATCACTTCACACTGTTCTCACCCCGCATCAGTATCGCAGCAGAAATTCTGAAGCAAAGCAATTAAGAGTTTTCAAACTTTTTTTTTTTGGCAATGCTTTAAGAGATTCATTCCAAGGTGAATAAAGAAAAAAAAAAATCCTCCCACAAACTCTTAACTTACTCTTGCAGAGTTTCTACTCCTTTTTCTTTATATTGCAGTTCCTGCTTCATCTGTGCCAATTCTCGTTTTAGCCTAGAAAGCTGAATATAACAAAATAACTTAAAATATGTAACAGAAGCTTTCATATTACAAATAATTGTTTTTCAAATGCAAAATCTTAAGTTACTTTAAAAAATCGAAGTGATAATCCAGTATCTCTTCTTATTTTGCTTTAAAATTTACATTAAAACAACACAAGACTTTCTGACATATTGCCAAGACACAACCAAACAGTGGTCACAACATCCACGTTTCAAAGTATCAATATCCTCATCTGTTCTATTGGTTTTCTGTCTCCAATAGCTTATGCCATCAGACAGCGAGTTTCAATCCATCTGAGTTTTGTTCTCTCCTTGTAGCACACAGACACCTCCCAACCATCTTCAACTCTTAGCCAACTTTAAAAAAGACTGAACATGCAATGCTGTTAATTTTTCAATCCAGGAAACCAAAACCACTGGCAACAGCATCGTCCTCTCTCCCAGAAATGGCAGCCTGATGTTCTACAGTTATTTCCATGTTGTCCTGCCCCCTCAATCCCCCCACCAATTACCTTAATCCAACTAGTGAGCATAAATCAAAAGGGACAAAGCTGCGATGTCTCCAAAACCACGTTTTTGTGGTTTTATGAAAACAGTTACCTGAGTAGGTTGGGCAGACCTTGGAAAAGCGCTACCAGCACCAAGAGTGATCTGCACAGAAATAGTTCCTTGCCCTCCAAAGCTGGTAGATAGCTGAGAGCAACGTGGGGAGGGGGACGCAAGGGGCTATGGACAAATGGGGGGAATGGAGGTGCTTCAGTGTGCAGTGGCGAGTTGTAAGAGAGAACTGAGAGCCCAAAGAGGGGGCAGGGATGGAAGAAAAAAGCTCTCTTCTCAAGCTATCAAAATTGGTACCTCTTCTAAGATTTACCCAGAGCGCTCTTGATTTGCCCATGTCTGTCAGTGAATGACAAAATCATTAGTTAAAAAAAAAAAAACAAACCACCCACACCACATAAACTAGAAAGAGACTAAAAAGAAAATCCCACATAGCCTTCCCCTTTCTTCAAAACTCATCACACCTTCCCCCCAAACACTCCTATACCCTCACTAACTCTTCCAACTCACCAGAAGTAAAATTAAAAAAAAAAAAAAAATCACTATTATCACGTACACAAACACTTCATCATATGTATTTTATCCTCTTACCTGAAAAAACTCAATGCCTATGCACACTGAACAGGTTACACTACGCACTTAGGAAAACATTTTGTTTTGAGATACAGGAACAGAAAAAAAGAGCCATATAAGTGAAGACCTTATATATTTTTTTTATTAATATTTAATGAGGCTTATTTTCTTGTTGAGAATATGCTGACATTTAGAGTATGTAAAACAAGCAAACACTAGTCAGCACGTAGTAAACACATACAGAGAGAATAAATGCCTTTGAAGGGTGGCAAACAGGATTTATTTTCAGAGGCACTCATGTGAAAAGTGGTCACTACAACAAAAATGGAACACTATCCAGCAAAGATAAGTATTTTTTATTTATTTTGTGAACTGAGTGCCTGGCATGCTAAATCCCATTTTATCTATTAATAAAAAGAAACACAATTTAGAAATAGGTTCTAGAGCTTAATATTATAAACTGGTTTTATTTATGACTACTATATCAATTTGCCTGAAACCAACATGCAGACTTTAACTCTTTGCTAAAGCAGCAAGGGAGAAATTCAAGTCGACAACTATTTCAACAAAGACTGTAACAAAAGTATAACTCTAGTTTAAAAAGAAAATATATATACACATATATATATAAATGCAATACTTCTTCTAGAACTGCCTATCACTGTCAGAACACTTGAACTACCCTTCCCTCATAGAGGAGATCCGGCCAAATCAGCTGAAAAGTTTTATTTGCCCAACATGTCTACTGAATTGTGAACAGATTTCCAAATAAATGGCTAAATCTAGAGTTTGACGACATCCATGTAAACCCACTGAAAATGGGTAAATGGGAAAATATGAAGACAGTGGGCTTGAACTGCACTTAATCAAGAAAGAATTCGGCTGGAGAGTATTTACTACTTGTGGCAGTTTGCAGAGAGAAAGCAGTTTCTGAAAGCCTGGCTGTCTTTGACATTCGTGACAAGATCTTTATGCTTGTAACATGGAAAATGCAAGACTTTGCAAGTCATTGAAATGCAGTGAATACAGAACAATAGGTCAGAGTAGAAAAGCAATTCTTAATATTATGTTTCCAAATATGCATGCAACATCCAATGCAAATGCTAAGGTAAAAGAAAACCACATAGTCCTCCTCCATTCCCCATGCCTAATTCATATTTTTACAAAATGATAAGAAGATTACTTACTCTGTCACGTCGGCTGGCTATTTCTGCTTTTATCTGATATGGGTCATACTTGGTATTAGTTGAAAATCCAGAGAATGCTAAACAGATGGAAAAGAGCATTTTACATGTTGTGGGGTTTTTTTTCTTTAATACACCTGTTAATATGTGACGCTATTTCATAGCCCATTGCGTTCATTCTGTGTGTTCCATGTCACTAGGTTTTACAATAACCCTGTGCTAAATTACAGCTGAAGAATTACCTGTGGCCTGCCTGATTTTTTTTTTTTTTTGTCCTCAACAACAAGAGTTGTATATAGCAGCACTGCACACTGCCTAAAAAGCAATGAGCTTCGATGACAGGATGGTGGCATTCACTGATGCAAGCAATTTGTGTAACATTTACAACTGCTAATTGCTTTCCAGGTATGCTGAATTAACAGCATGGTAGGGAGTAAAGTACCAAAACTACTGTCAGAGTACAGTTCAATCCACTTCAGAGTGAAGCTGCCTCCTAAAGCAACAGCGTAGGGTACTGACATACAGACCAACCTCTGGCAAGTGAGTACTTCGCACAGCGCATCTAGAGTCAGGCCATGATTCCAAGCTGTGGCGTTACAAGCTAAGGCCTAGACGGATGAAGTAAAGGTCCTAGAGGATAGGCTGGGCAAGACCAACCATGATTTATTGCGTGAGTCGTTCACAGCAGCACTTGCCCACTGAAAAATGCCTGGTATGTGGGTGGATGGGGTTGTGCTGTTAGACCTACCATTCCTTTGTAGAGTTGAAGGCTGCTGTTTTGAAACCCATATCCATGTCTGCATTGCACTGAGCCTGTCAACTCTCGAAAGAATACTGCAATGCCAAGGTCACATCAAGCGTGCAGGAACTTGCCAAAATGAGTAGTCATGCCTGGACTAATTCTCTAAATCCAGGATTTTCTATGGATATTTTTTTTTTTAAACAGTGCTGATCACAACTGAGTCACAAAACTGCTGCATGGGCACCTCCCTGTCAACCCACAAGCACTGAGCTCACACCACCTCCCACTCATGAGCACACGACACTGAGTTAATGGCAGCACCCACACGCAAAGAGGAGGAAAACAGCTTGTAAAGTTTTAGTTCTTTTAACTCAAGAGATTGAAACAAGTGGTGGTGGAGGCAGGAATATTCGCAGTAAGTGCCCAACTTTGGCCATGTAATTGCACTTGAACGCAGAGCCTTCGATTTCTGTACAATAAATGGAGAAGAAGGGAGTGGAGGAGTTGGATTAAGAAAAGCAAGTGGAGAAGCCTCGGGGAATCTTGAGTTGACAGCATGATTAATCCCCAAAGGGGTTTTTTGGTTGGTTGGTTGATGTTTTGGTTTTGGGAGGTTTGGTTTGGGTTTTTTTAATATATCATCTGACTAACCATGCCATCCCATTTTCCCAAATCAGATGCATATGGCCTTAAACCAATATAAAACATATTAACACATCTGTAGAAAATTAAACTTTTCACCTCAAAACCAGTGAAAATCTTATTTAAACAAATTTACAGTATTTCATTATTGATTCCAAAGATATACCAAAAAAAGAAATCTACCAGAAGACTGAGAAACGTAAGTCAACTGACATAGCATTAGCATTCATACTACAGATAACCTCCTGTTTTGTAGTTTTTAAGTCGCATTTTGTTGCTGTTTCAAGCAACTTGGTTTTCCAAGAGCTCTAAAAATATGAAAACCAGGTTTCATTTTTCTAGTATGTTATCTTCAATGGAACTTTATTTCTATACATTCACCTGAAGCAATTCAAAGTACCCCATAGAACTACTACAAATTTTGTCAAAAAACAAAGAGCCCAAGTTCCTAGAAAAGTATTGTACTAAATGGAAATTTAGATTTTATAATCTAATAGAATATTGATTGCACTATCTTTTACCTTATTCCAAGTATTTAAACAGTAGTTAAACACTTTAATCAATAATTTCTTTTTTAAAAAAAACTTTAAGAAAAAAAAATTAATCTTTCCTAATAATTCTCAAGAAACTTCAACATAACAGGGAGAAATAAGACTAGTCACATCTGTTCAGTTATGTCACAAACTAAATTACAGAAGACATATTTAAGACTAATCAAAAATATGAGATAATCCCAGTTCAGCAGTAAAAGAACACTTGGTCAAGACCATGTGGGACACCTTAGCCCTAGGAAACATCTTTTATTCAGGATTTTGGCATACAAATTAATTACCTTGGATTAATAAATACTAGTGGATCAGTAGCTAAACACTTCTATACGGATGACTGCTTTGAACCCGACCCCTGCCAGGTTTCTTGAACATTTTCAGAAAGGGCTAAACAGAGCTTCCCATACTTACCACATACATGGGATTTGCCAGCAAATCCGGCAGTTTGGCAATGGCTGTACACACGGCAGCCACTGAAAAGTCACCAGTGCAGTGTAACTCCACCACCTTTCCACCTGATGGGTAGGTATGCCCACTTCATACACTCCTTTGAACTAGACTGTTTTGACTCTTCAGCAAAGACACCTTTTCCTGTTGCACCAGCCAACAGCCACGACAGCAGTGCAACAGCTTCAGATTTCAGAAAAAGTGTATGATCTGCTTCAAGCTACTGGGAACATCTGAAGAATGAAAAGGGCAGGAAATAAAGCCTCTGTGACCTACACCACCAGCATTAGGATCAGATACTGGCATTCAAGAATAAGGTGCGCTAATGAAACACCAGATCCTACTTTGTGGTCAGAGGTACTCTTGACCATAGATTTGCAGAAGGCTTCCCCTAACCTGACAGGTCAACCCCATGTCAAGGGTGGAATAATCTATGAATTTAGGAGTGCAAATAGGTGGGTAGTCCAGAAATATTACCTTGGTTTTGTTGCCTTGCACAAGGCATCACTATGACTGGCTCCAAGATAGCTAGAGATGCTAGGATATATCCCTGTTAAAAAGCCATGTTCTAATGGACTTAACAGGAAATGGAAGCCCTTGAATAGCAGAGCCAAGGGATAGCGCCTCACTTCTGTAGTCAGGATCTTCACACAGAGGAGAACCAGGTGATGGAAACACTTCACACTATTTCCAACACCACGTCTTTTGTAAGGGGAGGTGGGTAAGTCAAGAAGAGACTAGTAAACTCACAGCTGGCATAGGAACGGCTGTCATCCTCACACATTTTGTGCAACTGTTGATACTCTTGTTGTGCTAGCTCAAAACGCTGCTGCTTTATTTGGTAAATCTCTTTCTTGGCGTTGAGTGCCTCCTGGGCAACTATTAAATATTCCTTTAGCATGCGTTCCTGCTCCCTTCTCCATTGCTCCCTTGGGTCCTCAATTTGTGTGAGCTCTAAAGGAGAAAAGCATAAAAGAAAAATACAAATTATTTTGTTAAGGTCTGTTCTCAACTAGCACACCTAACACTACAGTGGTCAAAATCACTCCAGCCTGGACGAGAAGAAGGAAGGATGCTGAGTGAAAGAACAGGAAAAGACCTTTCAAATCTAAAAGCCATTTCAATTTCATTCTTTTATTTATCAGCTAGAGCAAACCCACAGAAAAGTGTTTTGACTCTAACCTTCCCTCGTAGCCAACTTGAAAATTCTAAGGACTACCTAACAACCCAGAGCCATGTAGGAGAGAAAAAGGTATCTTAATGCTTAACCCGTAACTCCACAAATAGTTGAAAAAGCCCTAAGATACTACATACAACTTCACAAGTATAACATCCTTAAAGGTCAGTGACTACACACTTGCGTTAATTAAGAATAAAGTCATTCAACAGAAAAATTATCGTTTTCATCTCAAATCCATAAAAGCATTTAAACTGCTGCTTTTTTTTGGTTTTGGTCTTCAGAAACAGCACTCTCATGCTTTCCCTTTCCAGGGTTTAAAACAGTTCATATTCAAACACAAATTAAAAATAGGTTTCCAGTACAAAATCTTTCCTGCATATAATGGTTTTCAAAGTTATTATCATACAGAAATCTCTTTGCAGTTCCAAAGACGTTTGAAGCGGACACATGCATTAAAATCCTATAAAATTACTGGCTCATTAGTTTTCTTTTTGTGGTGATGCTCAAGCTAGCAAATATGTTTTACATGAGGATGCCCTTGTAACATCTCATGTCCAAGTGAATCTTAATTTCTGATGATTGAGGCTCTACAGGTAAGAAGTTGCTGCAGATGCAATGTCACTGTTCAAAGCAGTGGCAGAACCTACAGCACAGTCAGGAGGTAAGCACCTACTCATTTTTTTTTCTCATGAAAGATGAAAGCCAGTTATGTTTTGTATTAATCTTCTGTATATAATTCAGTATATATTGGTGTCAGCGATGAAATGAGAAACTATAGAAGACTGAGCCAAACACTTTATGAGCTTTAATGGTGTCAAGGTCATACTAGCAGCTCTACCATTTGAGAGCCATCTGAAAAGTACATAAACAAAAACATGAAGCTCATCTAGGAACAGTACTTACAAGAGATTTGTATATTAGGTTCCTATGAACGTTTTTCTGAACAGCTGTAACGTTTTTCTCCCCATAACTCCTCAACACAACAATGTTGTGCCTACAGTTCTGCAACTTCTCCCCAGATGCCAGGGACCCTCAATTCTCAGCAGTACCTTCTAGCTCCAATTCCCCCAAATTACCTTTGGAGCCCAGGACAGGATGTACTGTGGCTTGTTCCAGTCTCCATAAATTCTTCTCTGCATCCAGGGCAAGCAGAAAAGACTTCACACTGCAGCCCATCCTTTACTGATAGCATGATAGTTTGCAATGCTATCTCATCTGTCTTTAAATATTCCTGAAATCCCTGCAAATTTCATGTTCCTAAAACTGCTAATACCCTATGGAAACTATGCAGATATTGAGAAGTACTTATGAGACAGAAAAGCTGGATCTTAGTGTCTCTTTTAGAATAGGAAATTAATAGTTCTAATCTCAAAAAACAACCAAGGCTAAAATGTTATGCTGTGTCACACATTAAGCTTCTCAAGTCCTATACTATAGGGCACTGCATCTTTTCTTGAATTATTTCAGAAGCCTTCTCAAACACTGGCAGCATTCTTCTGAGGCAGTAAAACTTATTCATGACAATCTCTTCTGCTTTATGAAGTACAGAGGCTTCGCTTTACCCTGGATTTCTACACGTTTGCCATGTAACAACAAAACTAAAGCTGCACTGCATAATAAAAAAAAAAAAATCACATCCTTCGTTTCCTTATAACCAACTAAAAAAAAAAAAAATTAAAAAACCTACAGTAATTCAAAAATAGCCCCAGACAAATGCAGAGAACATATTATTTCCCCCACCAGGGAATGCCAAACTGGTTAAAGGAGACTTCAAAGGCTCCCAAGACTCTGAGGAGGAGGGAAAGCAATTCCGTGTCTGGCAGCCACCAAGGTTTTTAAGCGATGTTTGGACAAGAGCCAAGAGCAGCTCAGTAAGGGTGTCAACAAAATACTGAATTTACAGAACAAGATGGAGATCAGGGTTGGAAGCACCATTGAGATTTACAGAAGATTCCTCTGTTCCTGGGGTTTTTCAATATAAATGAAAAGTTATTGCCTAGAAATCTTTTTATTACTTTCTTGGTAAACAAACATAGCAAGAGGCTTGGAAAAATAAGATATATTACTGTTTTCTTTTAAAAGGTGCAAGGGCAAAAAGCTTAAGACTGTGCACAAAGCGTGAGAGGTCCCTGGTAAGCATAACTTTAGAAAGACTCCCTCTGAATTATCCCTTGCATTTTCTCACAGTATTTCTTGAAACCGAAGCACTTTAACTGTTTTGTCAATTAACACAAAACTCCAATGCTGTATAAAGCATTTAACCAGACAGCCACAAACGTGAGCCTGAATGTTTTCATGTTCAAGCTGCCGTTCAAAGTATTTCAGACATAGTTCAGAATACAATGTTAAGGACTCATTTCACAAAAACATTTCTACACCATCTCTGCCACTTGCCTGACACCATCCCATGATGCACATGATTGTTTGCTCATTAGTCCTCACTTCTACAAAGGAGGTTAATGCAGTCTTGATTGGTACCTTTGTTGTCCACTTTAAAATTGGATCAAGTATCCTAGTAATTGTCAGTAATGATTATCCAGCTATATCATCAGCTCTGTCTTCCTTCTGAATGTAAATCTTGCTTGTATATGCAAGCACTGTATTAGCCTAAGGGTGACAAACCCATTTTGCTGTGACGGCTGAATTACTGTTTAGGATAATATCTGTGGGCTGCAAGTAATTAGTTATCTTGAAAGAGACAAATTTTGCAACCTTGTGAATTGCAGAATGATTCCTTTCATTCAGTTCAGCACAGATCCTATGAAGTTTCTATTCCTCTGTTCATATATTACCTTTATTTAACTCCTAATATGATTAGCTTTACTTTCCCAGGCTTGGATGCCCCATCCCTGGATGTCTTCAAGGCCAGGCTGGGTAAGGCTTTGAGCAACCTGGTCTAGTGGAAGGTGTCCCTGCCCATGGCAGGGGGTTGGAACTGGATGGTCTTTAAGGTCCCTTCCAACCCAAACCATTCTGATTTTAATATGTGCATTCATACACATGTACATAGGTTGTTGCAAGTGCGGTCCATTACTTCACTCCAATGTAAATCTCCCTTTTTATTAAACTTCAGCATTAACTAAAGTTCCCATGACAGGTTAAACAGCAATCATTAAGCTACTACTTCTTTTAAACATAAAGGTAAGAATTACCTTTATGTTTAAATTACATTTAGGTAAGAATTACCTAACAGTCTGTATTTATTGCCTTTCAATTGTCTCAGCTATCTGTCCTCGTGATCAGTGCATTAACAGCTCTTTAAAGTTTATTATTTAATTTGTGATCTTTTTAAATTTCACAACAACTAAGTGCCTGTGTGGGACAAACAATATCATAGGAACATTTGTTATTCTGCTGGGTTTTTTAAAAAATAAGTAATTGTGAAACCACAATACATAAGTAATTCCAATGATGGCACAAAGCCAAAAACTACTTCTACACTTCTATTTTTTAATTGACAATTGAGGTTGTTTTTACAGTTTATACTATTTACCATTGCTGTGATAGGCCATACAACTCCTTTCTTCTTTTATCCCTCCCCATCAACTGCCGATTCCCACAATATTAAAAGCATTCACTCACTGGTGATAAGTAGCTTAATGATAGCAGCACAGCAGTAACAGCAGCAGTATTACGAAGCTGTAAAAGATAACTTTTTTTTTAAAGTACAACTGGCTAATATGCCAGACAGTGGTGATACAAAGCTCAGCATAGTCCAAAGGAAAAACATTGGAAATCTCTCCCTCTCAGTTTCCAAAAGGGACATCTGTTGTCTTTTTGATAGCACTTTTACTGTATTAAACATAAAACATATACTGACTAAGAAGTGAGGAGGTTATTGTATTTAATAGTGCTTCTAATTAAAAATCAGGACTTCCCTCAGAATGTATTTTGGTTTTTAGTATAGAAGAGTGAACTATGGATGACTGGGAAAATAGGAAATACACGGTAACTCAAATCATAGTCTGTAAATTTCTTTACACATGGAAGGAGGATTGTGGCCCCATTTGAAAGATGAGAAAACAGATACTGCAAGAAATTACTTGCATACATTTTCTTACTGTGGTATGAGGTGCAAAAATGGTATCGGAAACAAAGTTCGTGCCATCAGTTAACATCAGCTTGCGAGATTCCTCAAGATAATCATACAACTACTCACGATTTATGTGGTCCATATAATAAACTCCAATCTGTTGATCGTAAACAGTTTCCCATCCTAAAGGAAGCTCATCACCGACACAGTCAGCAAATGTCAATGGCTTTGTAATCCTGTAAAAATAAAACCAACACAAATAAATACAAAAGGTGCAGAGTTTATAGTGCAATAAATATTAGTACATGTTTTGAAGATACCTCCATCATTTGATCACAAACCAGTTATGCTTCTTAGGAATGTGCTAATAACTACAAACATACAGTTTCAAAATAAAATTTCATTTAAATATGCTGACAGATACTCCCTGAACAGGTAAGACAAGCTTCTCCCTTCAAGTTTCTATGTTTAACAGTTTAATTACAATGGCATGCAGTTCTGCCAGTTTTTCTCCCATATTGAAAAGAACACAAACAGGAAGCTGGAGTTCACCACTGCTATAAGTTAGTAGAAGCTTTACAGACTAACTTCGTTAAGGTGTCAAAGCAGGATAATTGTTTGCCCCTATAAGAAAGCACTATATAATAGATTTCTCCTCTTTTCAATTATACACTTACGACTACTAATTATATTTTCCTTGTCTAGACCCATCCAAATTACTTCCTCTCCCTCCAAAAGAAGAGAGACAAACAGATGTCTCTAAAGAATACTGAAGGCACTGGAGCACAAACAGTAACTAATAAGTAACAGCATTACCACCTAGCAGCTTAAAATATTACACCCCTTGCTAGGCAAACTCTTGATAGACAGTGGATAATAAAAAACCAAACAGCAATTTCATTATTTACACATTCCTGTCAAGTACTAGGTAACAAATTCTACAGAAAGACTCTAAACCAATACTGTTCTATAGCATTATGTTATATTAAAAAGAAATCCTGAAACTAAAAATCTTTAGCATTCAGTTGAATCACATCTATTTCCAGTATCATCATTTTAATCGTTACTCAACCACTAAGATAAAGCTGCAATAGAATTCCTTTACAGAAGAACTATTAATAATAGCCATCTCATTATACATGGGATATAGATTCAAAACCTTCAGCATCTATTTGTTGAGGCATTTCTAATACATAGAATGATGACAGCTCTGCAAAGATTATACACACATGTTAATTTAGAGACTGACTTCAGCTCAGCATAACCTATGGTATAATACTATTTGGTGTAAAATGGAAGTCTTTGCATGTTACAATACCCAATTAAAGTTTTCTGACACCAGATCTGGACTATTCTTACAAATACACTGCGGAATAGAGAGATCACTGGGACTGGTATTTGCACTTCACCTGATAACACCCTCATAAAACATTAAGTCTGTCTGAACTACAACATAGAACGCTTTGGGTTGGAACGGGCCTTAAAGACCATCTAGTTCCACCCCCCCTGCCATGGGCAGGGACCCCTTCCACTAGACCAGGTTGCTCAAAGCCTCATCCAGCCTGGCCTTGAACACTTCCAGGGATGGGGCATCCACAGCTTCTCGGGGCAACCTGTTCCAGTGCTTCACCACCCTCTCCGGGAACAACTTCTTCCTGATGTCTAACCTAAATCTCCCCTCTTTTAGTTTAAACCCGTTACCCCTTGTCCTGTCACTACAGGCCCTTGTAAAAAGTCCCCCCCAGCTCCCTTGTAGCCCCTTCAGGTACTGGAAGGCTGCAATGAGGTCTCCCCAGAGCCTTCTCTTCTCCAGGCTGAACAAGCCCAACTCTCCCAGCCTGTCCCCATAGCAGAGGTGCTCCAGCCCTCTGAGCATCTTCGTGGCCTCCTCTGGACCCACTCTTAACAGGTCCATGTCCTTTTTATTCTGGGGGCCCCACAGCTGGACAGAGTACTCCAGGTACTCCACTAAATATTTTTCATAAAATCAAACAATAAATCAGAGTGCATTTCAATTTTTTTTTAGGCAGAATTGCTTGAGAAGTAATGTTATTAACTTCATGGTATCCCTCTGACATAGACATGCTGAACACATGAATATACACTGATTTTAATATACGTATTTTCAGTCATATATGTAGCTCCATCTAGACCAAATCTAAAACTGCATCTTTGGTGAAAGGGGGTGAGTAGGTCCTTGTCATTACAACATGCCCTGATATATTTTAAGATAACCACCTTGAGATGTCATCTGGTCATCCTCAGCCATCTTTGGTGAAAGGGGGTGAGCAGGTCCTTGTCATTACAACATGCCCTGATATATTTTAAGATAACCACCTTGAGATGTCATTTCCATCTAAGATCTCAAGTGTAACTTTTTATGGAGTGTTCCAGACACCTCATCAGGAGACATCCACAGAGGACCACTGAAGGGCATATTTTACCACTGACCAAGCAATCGCACAGTCTCACATTGAAGTGTCAACTTTTTTGTGACTTGGCAATGAAGTACACTGCCAAGAAAAGCTAATTTTTCTGTTTTGTGTCTTCCACCATCTCACTTTACCTAATGAAATGGGAGAAGAAACAGCAATCAATTCATGATGAAAAAGAAGGAGGAGGCAGGTGTGTAATGTGAACAGACTCACTAGACAACTACATAAATGCTAGCACCTGGGGGTGTTGGTTGACAGCCGGCTGAATATGAGCCAGCGGTGTGCCCAGGTGGCCAAGAAGGCCAACGGCATCCTGGCCTGCATCAGGAACAGTGTGGTCAGCAGGACCACGGAAGGGATTGTCCCCCTGTATTGAGCACTGGTGAGGCTGCACCTCAAATCCCTTGTTCAGTTTTGGGCCCCTCACTGTAAGAAAGAGGGTGAAGTACTCCCAGAGAAGGGCAACGGAGCTGGGGAAGGGTCAGGAGCACAAGTGCTGTGAGGAGCAGCTGAGGGAGCGGGGGGTGTTTAGCCTGGAGTAGAGGAGGCTGAGGGGAGACCTTATTGCTCTCTATAACTACCTGAAAGGAGGTTGCAGAGAGGTGGGTGTCAGTCTCTTGTCCCAAGAGGAGACAAGCAATAGGACAAGAGGAAATGGCTTCAAGTTGCACCAGGGGAGGTTTGGATTGTATATTAATAAAAATTTCTTCACCAAAAGGGTTGTCAGGCACTGGAACAGGCTGCCCAGAGAAATGGTTGACTCACCATCCTTGGAGGTATTTAAGAGACGTGTAGATGTGGTGCTTGGGGACATGGTTTAGTGGTGGACTTGGCAGTGCTGGGTTAATGGTTGGACTTGATTATCTTAAAGGTCTTTTCTAGCCTAAATGATTCTGTCCTACTGTCTGCTCGCCTGAAGCCCAGGGTAGTGAGTATGCTGTGCACCCTCCTTGCAGCCCAAAGGAGGACCATTTCATGTTCATTGCATCCAAGGCTGCCTTTGAGCTTCACATTCTCCACCAGCCCTCCCTTGTTGGTGAGAACAAGACCCAGTAGATCACCTCTCCTTGTTGGTTCCTCTGTAAGTCAGAGGAGGAAGTTGTCATCAACCCATTCCAGAAATCTCCTGGCTTGCTTGTGCCCTGCTGTTCTGTCCCTCCAACAGATATGAGCAAGGTTGAAGTCCCCCATGAGGATCAGGACTTGTTAGTGTGAGGCTGCTCCAGTCCATAGAGTGCCTCATCTGCTCAGTCTACCTGGTTGGGTGTTCTGTAGCAGACCCCCACTATAATGTCACCTGTCACTGATCTCCCTTTAACCCTGAGTCATAAGGTCGTGGTCAGCTCCTCATCCATCCTCTGGTGGAGCTTCTTGTATGTCTGTCTTTGAACTAGAAGTCCTTCCCCACCCCAAAACAAAACCAACCAGAAGAACCCAATGGTAAAAACTTCAAGTGATGGAAATAATACTACAGCTACACTCTAGCTATTCCAACAGTGCAGTAAGTGCACCATTCAATGACTAACGAAAAGCACATAAACTTGCACACAGTCAACAGAAAAACTGCATTTACTTGCCTCCTAAAACTATTTGAGTATTCTTGAGATTAAATTGTTCAAAATTATCTGTGGTAGAATAAAAAAAAATCCTCACTAGTTCAAATGTACGGTTTTGAACAGCTCAGTACAAGAGTATAAATATCAAGTTATTTAGGTCAAATAATAAAGAGCTTGATCACACTTGCTATGGATTCTCAAACATGTATAAACAGTTTAATAAGATGAAGATGTACATAAACTTGTACACCCTTATTTAAGCAAAAATTTTCCATTACTGACAAATACATTGTTTAAATCATGTAATCATACAAATCCAAAGCTGCTGTATTCAAGAAAGAAAAAGTTACTATGGACTGGCACATGCATTCCTTCAGTAATTCATCCAGTAGTCAGGCAGACCAAATACTGCCAAATACTTCTGATCTCCCTGGAATTCAGTCAAATATTAAAAATATAACGTGCAGCATTTTTCTTAAACTCTCATGGTTTTGTTCTGAAGACATCATGTTTACAGTTTCTCAAAGTAGTCTAGACATCGGCTCCTAAATCACCACACTATAGACAAGATTTTCTTTGGAATGAGTTATGAGACATGCTTGCCTGTTATACAAACACACCGTCACCCTTTATTCATAAATAAAACCTGCCCATGATACCCTAACTTTTCACACTACAAGAACTTTAATTCAACACTCTCCATGATCCCACCCGGGCTCAGCCTTCCAGGACAAGGACAACGCTCACTTTCGGGAAAAGGGAGACGGAAGAAAGCCAATAGATCTGGTCTAACCGGTTTTCATTCCAATGTTACAAAGCATGCATGAAGAGTTTAATTAATGGTTTTGAAGAAAACCTTGTAAGAAAAAAAAAAAAACAACAAAAAAACCAACACACACACATATAAAAAGCTGTCTTCCAGACATCCAGACCACTACTGACTTGATGTCACTACATTCGAAGTTGCTTCAAACTGGATTCCCTTCAGACAAAGCATAACATCACACTGACTCTCAATACAGTCACACATCTACCTACCTTGAACCTTCTTCATTCAATTAATCTACATCAAAACATGTAATGCTTAAATTAGGAACTGGAATTTTATCCCTGTGTTTTGCACTGGTTTAACAAAGTCAACTGAAAAAAAAAAATAGATTTCTGGTTTAAGCAGCGCAACTCTGAGGACAAGATACATTTTTCCAGTTAGGGAAACCATGGGCTTCCAAGGACAACAAAGACAAA